TGATGGTGCCAACTTGGGCCAGTGAAGCAGCGTCCTCCACAACTAGACTGAAGAACAAAATGACAGCAACTTGTCTGTTCCCCTTCCCCTAATTCCCCAGCGCTGTTCCGATCCCCCCAATTCCCCAATAAAAATCTTTTTTTTAAAAAAAGACACTATCAAGAGAGTGATAAGACAGCCTATGGAATGGGAGAAAATATTTGCAAAGCAGTATCTGACAAAGGATTAATATACAGAGTATATGAAGTCTCTTACAACTCAACAATGAAAAAACAGACAACTCAGTTAAAAAATGGACAAAGGACATGAAGAGACATTTCTCCAAAGAAGATATACAAATGGCCAATAAACACGTGAAAAAGATGCCCAATATAACTAGACATTAGGGAAATGTAAATCAAAACAGCAATGAGATACTACTTCATACCCATTAGGATGGCTATTATCAAAAAAATCAACAACAAAATAACAGGTGGTGGTAAGAATGTGGAGAAATTGGAACCCTTGTACCACTGCTGTGAGAATGTAAAATGGTGCAGCCAGTGTGGAAAACCTATGGCAGTTCCTCAAAAAGTTAAGTACAGAATTACTTTATGATCTGGAAATTCCACTTCAGGGTATATACCCAAAAGAATTGAAAACAGAGACTCAAAAAGATACTTGTACACCAATGATCAGAGCAACATTAATCGGTATAGCTAAAAGGTAGAAACAGCTCAAATGTCCATGGATGGATGAATGGATAAACAAAAAGTAGTATATACATACAATGGAATATTATTCAGCCTTCAAAAGGAAGGAGATTCTTATATACACAGCATTGTAGACGAACCTTGAAAACATTATGCTAAGTGAAATAAACCAGCAAAAAGGACAAATAGCTTTTGATTCCAATTAGAGGAGATACTTACAATAGGCAAATTCATAGAGGCAGAAAGTAGAACAGTGATTTCAGGAGCTGGGGTGAAGACTGAATGGGGAGTTATTGTTTAATGGGTACAGAGTTTCTGTTTGGGATAATGAAAATGTTCTGGAAATGGATAGTGGTGATAGTTTGTGAATGGACTTAATGCCTCTGAATTATATACTTAAAAATGCTTGAAATGGTAAATTTTATGTTATGTATACTTTACCACAATACAAAGAAAATATATTTTAAAAAGAGAAAAAAGATTCAAGTATTCACATGACTTAGCTAATCTCTTGCTTCTCCTCTCTTACTACACACCTGTCTTCTTGGTCTACTCTTAGTTTTTAGAACATGCCAAATAATTTTCACACCTCAAGACCTTTGTTCTTGCCTGGAATTAGATTTTGGATTGGCTGACTTCTTTCCTTTTTTGATGTCAGCTTCTATGCCAGTTTCTCAGGGAGACCACACTTGCACTGCCTATCTAAAGTGGGCCCACTACAAATCATCTCCCTTTTCGTTTTCTTCATAATCTGTGATTACCTTGTTTGTTTTTAAACTTAGGTACTTTTGCTCCCCTCACTGGAATATACATTATGTGAGAGGAGAGACCTTGTCTGTTTTGTTCACTTTTTTATTCCTGGCACCTAATACTGTCTCTAGGACTTAGTAATATCTATTGTATGAATGAATAAATGAATCATAGATCTGTACGTGTTGATTTGGAATATTTTTCAAGATATATTAACATTGAAAAGCTAGGTGCAGAAGGTCTTCCGTTAAAATCTCATTTTTGGTTAAATAAAAAACATTTATATGATTGTTTATGCAGAGAATATTTTTGAGAAGTTACAAAAGGAACTGTTTACAATACCTGCCTCTAGGGAGTAAAACGTAGGGTTTGTGGGGAAAGTGATATTTTTATATTTTATTGTATACCATTCTCTACTGTTTGGATTTTTGCTATGTGTATGCAATTTTAAAATTAAAGAAAGAATTATTAGAGTAGTGTATTTTATCTTACGACTGCAAAAATGGACCATTTCTAAGATTGGCCCCTTCAGCCCTGACTGGCATTATGAAAAGTGTTGGGTATTCTTCAGAAATGAGCACATCCCTGGGGGTGGCTGGTCTCCACGTTGCTGAACTGAGTTAATGCTGCCAGTTATAAACACACCTGAAACCACATCAAGGGAATAGTTTCATGGTTTAAATCTGATATAGCAGTTTATCAAAAATAACTTTAAAAAATAGCCACTCTTTGCTAGTATAACCAGGATTACCTTAGAAAGTTTATGTGTTTTGTAGGTAGACATACATCTGGATTTAGGGAATATAGTTTCTTATAAGTTTTCAGAACCTGTAGTCTGTACTTACACATGTAAATCTCGATAGTAAATGAATACATTTGTCCTTTGGTTCTTTTTCACATGTAGTGAAAGATTTGGAGAACCTCCGAGCTCCCCTAGATGTTTGCAGCAGAAAATGAGGTTGGAACTGGAAGGAAGTGGGGTATAATAACCATCTGCTTGTGCTTTCTCTTGCTCAAGAATGAGCATGTCAAAATA